CGGCCCAGGAGGGGTGAGGTCGCCGGGCTCCCCCGGGACCCCGGCGCCCCCTCCTCCTCGGAGCTGCTGGGAGAGCCACAGTCCACCTCCTGGAGGGAGGGCAAGGGTGGAACGCTGGGGCCGCCACCCCCTGGCACGCGATACCCCACCGAGCTCTCCCTCCGCAGCAGCTGGTGAGGGGGCAGCCGCTCAGTCTGGCTGGGGGCTGCCCCTGGCAGTACTGGGACCGGGGGAGGTGGCACAGCGGGTGGAGACAGGGGACTGGAGGTCTCTGTGGACACGCGCACTTTGAAGCTCCTTTTGAATTTCTCCCGCTTGGTGGGCCCCAGGTCCCCTGGAAACAGAGGATTGAAGAAGCAGAGGGCGGCTCCGGTGCCCTGGTCCAGCTCTTGAGGGGACCGGGCCTTGAGTCGGGGCAGTGGCGGGGCTTCAGACGGGTCCAGTTGAGCCTTGGTGTTGAGGGAGGAGCTCCAGAACTCTGGGGAAGAGAAACCCACTGGGGAGGGTGCCAGACAGGGGAAGGCGCAGGCTTTGGGCTGTGTGGTGAGTGCCTTTCCTTTCCCTCTGGGCCTCAGCTTGCCTGTCTGTGCAGTGGGTGGCAGGAGAGCCTTACCAATGCCCAGGTGGGAGATGGCCTCCAGCTCCTTGAGGGTGGCTGCCTGGTGGATGGCTCTGGGGAGCTGGAGTGGGAGGAGAAGGATGTCCCTGGGGCCAGAGAGGGGAGCAGAAAGTGAGGTGGGATGCTCGGCCACGGGAGGTGGGGTGGGGATGGTCCAGGGAGCAGGACCCCAAGGACACTAGGCGCCCCACGGGCAGACTCACCGGGCGTGGCAGTAGGCGCAGATGAGCTGGACCAGGTCCGGGAACACCAGCTGCGAGCCCTCCAAGGACATGCCTAAGAGATGGGAAGTGAGGTTGTCCCCTGGGGATCCCCCTCCCTTTTTCTAGCCTCTTCCCGCCAGGCTAGCCCCTCTCACCGCCAGGGCTCTCCAGGATGTAGTGGCTGGAGACGAAGGATGGGCCGCTGGCCTCGGGCAGCCGCACGCACAGGGCTTGGCACTGGCGGGGATTAGATTTCCTCACCAGGAACGTCTGCAGATGGACGGGGTCGGGAGGCTCGGGTCCTTGGGACCGGCCTCCTCCTTCCCACCCTGGCTGGCCAGTCCCTGGAGGTGGGCAAGACTCACCCCCGGAGGCTCGGTCCTCAGCATGTGCAGGGCAGCGGCGGCGTTGGCCCGCAGCTGCCGCCACACAGACCGGGTGAGCAGCAGACGTTCCCGCAGGCTCACAGCGCGCCCTGGCCGCTGGGGCCCACCTGCTTGTGTCCCGCTGGCATTGGGCACATCGTACAGTGGGTCCTGGGCTGGCCTGAGGGCGGGCACTCAGACCTGAGCAGGGGCCCAGGGCCTGGGACCCTTGCCCGTCCCTTTCCTTCTTCTGGGCTTCCCACCTCCCCTGTCCGGGGACAGAGAGACCCACCTCTCTCAGTCCCTCCCCGCCCCACCTGGCAGCCCTGCCAACTTCACTAACTTTTCTCTCTCCAGGTGCCCAGGAGAGAAGCTGGACAGGCCGGAGGCCCCGAGAGGGCCTGATCCTGGCTCCCCAGGGCTTTCCATGGCTGGGAGCTCCCTTGCTTCTCCCAGGACTCAGGAAGAAAACCCAGCCTCAAGGCACAGGCACGCACATTCCCGGTGAGTAACACTTCCTGAAGGCGGTCGCCTGTCACACCCACCAGTTAACTCTTGTGTGTCCACCCCGCCTGGCCAGTGCCCGCCTCCTCTGTTCTGGGCCCAGCCCTGAGGGGCAGGGATCCCCTCCATTTCAGCGCCCCTCTGAGGGCCCCGGCTGTTAGGCTGCCACCCCCACACAGGGCCCCCTGCAGCCTTGCCAGCCACTTCACATCACCCAGGTGGGCAGGAAGGAGTTAAGCAGGGTCTGACTCAGTCTCCATAGGCCCCAGCCACGCCCTCAGGCACCTCCGAGTCTGTGGTCAGTTGCTCATCTGCCCCTCCACCAGGGGATCAGCCTTGGGGGAGAGCACCCCCTACTGGCCACAGATGACTCAACCCTGAGCCTAACCTGGGTTTGGGGATTTCAGGTTGCCATGGAAAGAAGATGCCGTGTCGCCATGGAAACCAACCCCTTTGCTTAACTGAGGTTCTGGGGGCGGTTCTGACACTCAGCGCTAACAGGGGGGAGTCTGGCTGTGAGGTCGTCGGCACATGGCGCTGCTGCCGGCTGCCTCCCACGCACACAGGCTCTGCCAGCCTGCCTTGCCAATCTGCCACTGGGACTGGGACAGGTGCAGACATGACCCTGGCTCCAAGCACCGAACCAGCCCTCCTCACCCTCCGCCTGTGCCACATGTTGCTTCTGACTGCGCACCAGCATGGGGCAGTCCAGGGCCCAGCCCCCTCTTCCCCAGCCTCACCCCAAGGCAGAGCACTCCAGCTCCTGCTGGTTGGTGAGAGGGACCAAACTGCAGGACCCCAGAAGAGGGCCTGCCTGTCTTAGGAGCCCCCACCCCCAAAAAAGCCCTGATTCCCTTGCAAGGTAAATCAGACACACAGGGCACGCCAGAGTCTCAGGAGAGGCTTTAATTTCAGTCCTCAAATCTAGGAGGCAGCCACCAAGAACTGCCCTGAGAAAACCTGGGGAGCCTGGCTTGTCACCTCCAGCTCCAGCCAGGATGGACAGTCACCAAATATCCTTTCTGGCTCAGAGTCCCCGCACAGTGGGGCCCAGCTCCCTAGCCCAGTGGCTGGAGGCCAGGGTCCAAGATCAGCAGGATGTGGCTTTGGCTTAGGACGTCATCTTTGTCAGGGAAACCCTGAGGAGGCTGGTCTTCAAGAGGGGAGGCAGTGGGCTGCTCAGGGATGGGGATGACAGTCTTGCCCAGCCAGGTTGACTCTGCAGCCACAGTCGTGCAGGCCTCAGGGAGGGCAGAGGAGTCCAGGCCAGTAACGGCTGGAGGGGAGGGCCCAGCAGCAACACTGGAGCAGCTGGGCAGACCCTGGGGGCTTGTGGGTGTGCTTTTCTGCAGCAGGAATCCGAGGGACCCCTTGGCTGTGAGAGCAGAGTCACGGTCCTAGGGTGTTGGGAGGGAAAGCATTGAGAGGGAGACAGCCACTTCTTATGGGAGACTGAAGGGTGTGACTTCAGTCTGGCCCAGGACAGGCCCCCCAGGAGGGCTCCGGGAAGCCCCACAGTCAGGGGCTCCCTGACCCCTCCTGGCTGGGGTCTCATTAAACCAGAGCTTCTCCTCCCCCATCCTGGATCCTGCTCCCCCAACTCCCACAAACTCCTCAAACCTAGATCATTCTTTCTCGGGCCACTGATTCTGACATGGCCATGCCCCTCTGTGGACTCCTTCCCAGGACTGGGCTGTGGGGAAGTGACGGCAAGAAGGGAGGGGGAGCAGTGCGACATCCATGGTTTCTTACCGTCTGGCTTTCTCTTCTGAGGGGACACAGCTGCCCTAGCCTACGTGGGAGAGAAGAGAAGCCCCCCTGAGAGCCAGCCTCCAGCTTGCCAACTCCTTCCTCCACCCTGGCGTCATGGGGAGGGACTGTTGCCCCAGGTCCGAGAGCCAAGAGCATAGGACCCCCCAGGCAGAACCTCTGACCAGCCTCCCCCCAGCCCCACCCCATCAAACCCACCCTGGAAAAAGAGGCTGACACAGATTGAAAGTCCCTTCTTCAGCCAGGCTCGGTGGCTCAGCCTGTAATCCTGTGCCTTTGGGAGGCTGAGGTGAGTGGATTGCCTGAGCCCACGGGTTCGAGACCCGCCTGGGCAACTTGGCGAGACCTCATCTCTTCAATAAATCAAAAATTAGCTGGGCATGGCAGCGCTCGCCTGTAGTTCCAGCTCCTTGGAAGGCTGAGGCAGAAGGATCGGTGGAACCCAGCAGGTCGAGGCTGCGGTGGCCGGGAGCGGCCACTGCACTCCAGTCTGGGCGACAGAGTGAGACTCCAACTCAAAAAAAAAAAAAAAAAGTCCCTTCTTCCAGGCAAGCTTGAACACAAAGAGAACCCAGGCTGAAGATGGGGGAACAGAGAACTCCAGGCCCCAGGAAGCTCAGGCCTGCAGAGGGCACAGTGCCGTCTGGGTGCAGGACACTGAGGTAGGGCGGGGGACATGGGCAGCAGCAGACCCACCTTTTTGATGGCTGTCCAGTCTTCTAGGATGTCAATCTCCTGCAGCATGTACACAATGTAAGGGCCTGAGACAGGGGTCAAGGAAGCAGAGAGCCCAGTGGAGGAAGCAGGTGATGAGGGCACAGTCTGGGAGTCCGAGGGTGGCAGGGCCACCTGCCCAGCACTCAGAGGAGAGTGTGGAGGGGGAGCTGACACCCTGGGTCTGAGCTCAGGCTTCGCCTCCTACTTCTTGGTTCCCTGGTTCTGGGGACCCTTGTGGCCTTTTTTTTTTTGAATTAGTCTCACTTTGCCGCCCAGGCTGGAGTGCAGTGGCCACTCCCGGCCACCGCAGCCTTGACCTGCTGGGCTCCACCGATCCTTCTGCCTCAGCCTTCCAAGTAGCTGGAACTACAGGCATGCACCACCACGCCTGAATATTTTTAAATTTATTTTAGAGATGCAGTCTCATCAAGTTGCCCAGGCTGGTCTTGAACCTGACACCTCGGCCTCCAAAGTGCTAGGATTACAGGCATAAGCCACTACGCCCGGCTGGCCTATTTCACTGAATCCATCGAGGGAACTAAGCCCTTCCCTGACCTCCCTCGCTCACCCAGGCCCATCCCACCCTTCAGGGGCCCTGTTCCTTTTCCTATTCCGTATTGTCCAATGTCACGGTTTCCTCCTCTGGCTGCCTGCCCCATCTAAAGACAGACTCAGGCCTCCAATCCAGAGATAAAGCTCCTGTGCTCTCCACCTGAAATCACCAACGCCCTCACCTTCCATGTGCTCAAGTCACTGCCTTCCAGACTTCTCCCTCCCTGCCTGGGCCTGCTTTCGAGCACCGGGTGGCCATGATGACTGAGACTCTGGCTGCTGCAGGAATGCCCTCCAGGGTGTAGGAGCACTCAACTCTGTGCTGATCCAGGAGGGATGAAAACATGGCGGGCCCTGGACTGAAGGAACTTTTGCCTAGGAAGGGACAGAGGCAGCTAGTTCCCTCCAGGACGTGGACACCCTGGGGTAGGGCACAGGGGTGCCCAGGAAAGTGGAGTCACAGGCACTGGAGGACGAGGAGAAGTTTCATGGACAAGGCTTGAGATGAGCCCAGAACAGCCAGGGACAGTCTCTGCGGAGGATAGGAAGTGAGCAAAAGTGCCCGGGGAAAGCTGGGGGCCTGCTCGGCTACCAGGAGACAGAGGCCTTAAAAGCTGAGACTCCCTTGGTAAGCTAAGGGGAGTCACTGAACTGAAGTTTCTGTTTTTCTAGGGTCCACATAGCCCAGGGGACACCCAGGACCCCACAAGAAATCGCTTAGCTGGATGACACCCAACAACCCTGAGTGCATCTCGTCTGACTGTCCTCACATCCCCTCCAAGCCCCTCCCCGGGGTCTGGAGCTGACCCTGACGTCCTACCCATTCTCAGGCCATCTTGGGTGAAAGGATACCAGAAACGAGAGGTGCCTTCTTCCTCTTGCTGGGCGGCAGGGGGTCCCAGGACTTGGAGCTGCCTCTGGCGTGCAGTTTGTCATCCCACCACTCTGTGTCCCCAAAGAGAGTCAGGATTGGGGTGCTGGCCCACAAGACACCTCCTCCCCCATAGCCTCTGTCCCCCCCACCATGGGCCAGCCCAGCCTCCCCTCTCTGCCCCATCAACACCCTGAGCTGAGCTTGGGACTGGAAGCCCCTCACGTTGTTCAGGTCTTAACTGCACAGCTGTGCAACTCCAGGAAAGAAGCCACTTCATTTTTGTGAGCCTTGGACAGTGGGATGATGACAATTCCTGCCTTTCTAAGAGCCTATATGATCCTAAGTACGTGGACGTGGAGGGGACTGAATATATGTCACATTGAGACCTGCTGCCTCCATTCTGGAAAGAAAGCAGAGGCAGATGAGGGCAAGGGCACCCGTTCTGCCCAAGCCCCTCTGTCTGCCAGGCACTGGCCAGACACTCTCCAGGCCTGGTCTCCTTCAGTCCTCACAGTGACTCTAAGAAGCAGGTCCTCTGACTTTCCCTGTGTGCAGTCAGGGAAGCTGAGGTCCAGAGGGGGGCGGGCATTGACAGCGCTGGGCCCGGCCCTGGGGCAGGCCCTCGCGCTCACCGGAGCTGAGGTCCAGGCTCTGGCGGTCCTCTTCCAGCCTCTGGATCCGTTCCTGCAGCTCCCCCTGCAGTGTGTCATACAGCAGCAGCTTCTCGCTCTGGAAGAGTGGGCAGCGGCTTAGCCAGGCAGGATGGGGAGGGGCCGCTTCAGGCCTCACCTTCCCCCCCAGGTGACCCGTCAGGCTCACTTCCAGGTGCTGTTTGGCTCCCTGAAGCTCACACTCGTACTTATTCCTGATCACATCCAGGCAGAAGCCCTTGTAGATCCCTGCAGAGGGACGGAAGAGAGGGCCTGCTTGGCTGGGGGGCCCCAGTGCCCACAAAGGAAGGCAGCAGCGAGAACGGGGTGTGGCAGAGCAGGGACGAGGGGGGAAGGGGACAGACAGTCATGAGTTCTGGAGGGAAACAGGACCCAGGACCGCCCACAGACCTGCCACCTGAATGCGAATTTTGAGGCTCTGCTGTAGCCCCCCAAGAGGCTCTGTGTACTCGGGAGCTCTCTCAGCCCCCACTTCCTCCAGCCGCAAGCGCAGCTGACTCAGTCGTTCCCTGAACAACCTGGGAGGTGAAAAGGCAACAAGTACTCATCCGTGCCCATTCTACCGCTGGTTCCGCGTTGGTGCTCTCTCATGGGGGCCGGCCACCCCTGCCCAGCACCAGGCCCACTGCCTCCTCAGCCCAGGGGCCTGGAGTCCCAGCCCAAGGTGTCCCTGCACTCACTTCTCCTTCAGCTCCGAGAACTGCTTCTCCAAGTCCATCATCTCATTGACACACTCGCTACGGCGCCGTTCATAGTCCTCATCGTCCATCTCTGGGACAAGAAGCCAGTCAGGGACGTGTGTGTGCGTGCGTGCACACGCACATGCGGGCGTGCGTCGAGGGCTCACCTGAGCTCTCCTCCTCTGACTCAGTTTGGCTGCCGCTCCGTTCCTCCTCACTCTCTTCCTCCTCCCCATTCATCTCGGCGGCCGAGTCGCCCTCTGCTTCCATCTCTTCTGTGTCTTTGCTTGGAGGCTGGATGGGCATCTGGAGAAGGAGAGGAGCCATCACTCAGAGCTGCCCAGGGTTCTGAATGGAAAAGAGGCCGGGCGGGGAGTTGCATCAAACCCAAACCCAGATGGGACAGCCAGGGCAGTGACTGACCTCACCACTCAGCACACTGGGTGGCGGGTGTGCAAATGGCTGGTGGCACCTTGCACAGAAGCCTGGGGGCTGTGGAAACGCTCCTGCCCTGGGCCATTGTTGGTGACTCCAAGCCCAGAAGTACCGGCCAAGGCTACGATCCACAGATGGGAAGAGCCCAGGGGAGCTGCCCACTGCCTGTGGGACTGGCCCAAAGTTCTGACTGGGGTTTTTTGGTTTTTTTTTTGAGTCAGAGTCTCACTCTGTTGCCCAGGCTGGAGTGCAGTGGCACGCTCACGGCCACTGCAGCCTCGACCTGCTGGGCTCAGGCAATTCTTCCACCTCAGCCTTCCAAGTAGCTGGGACTACAGGAGCACACCACCATGACCAGCTAATTTTTTTTTTTTTTTTAGTTGGAGTCTCACTCTGTCACCCATGCTGGAGTGCAATGGCACACTCACAGCTACCCCAGCGTTCACCTGCTGAACTCTGGCGATCCTACCGCCTCAGCCTTCTAAGTAGCCAGAACTACAGGCGCATGCTACCATATCCAGCTAATTTTTTATTTATTGTAGGGACGAGGTCTCGCCAATTTGCCCGGGCTGGTCTCAAACCCATGGGCTCAGGCAATCCACTTGCCTCGGTCTCCAAAAGTGCTTGGATTACAGGTTGAGCCACCAATCCTGGCCAGTTTTTTGATTTGTTGTAGAGAAGAGGTCTCACCATGTTGCTCAGGTTGGTCTTGAACCCCTGAGCTCAAGCAATCCTCTTGCCTCTGTCTCTGCCTCCCAAAGTGATGGGATTGCAGGCATGAGCCACCATGCCCAGCCATGACTGGAATTTTCAAGGTCCTACACAGACTGGGGTTGAATTACAGGGTCCAGCTACTTCCCCCAGCAGTTCTCACACTTCTACCTCCCTCCATCTGCCGTGCTGTTCCTTTTGACTCTGATATTCTCAACTTCTCCTCCTGATAACACTCTACAATCCCCTTGTCTTTCACTGTGCTCTAGGTCAAATCCCATTTCCTTCTACTGCCTCTGGGATCCTGGGTCAGCTGTGCTCTCCTCTCTCCTCTGTCTTCACCTTCTTCCTCCTGGCTGCCTCCTGCCCATGCAACGTTAGATGTGCTCAGGTATTTCTACCATCAAGAAAAAGCAGAAACACAAAGCCTCACTCATTTCACTTAACTGTTTCCTCTTTTCCACTCCACAGTCACACTTTCTAAGTCTTGTGCACATTGCCTGTCCCTACTCTCACCTCTCAGTAGGAAAGGATACTGTATCCTTTGCTACTGTATCTGTTGTATCTGTTTCTGTACCTATCAATTTCAGCGAAACTGATCCTGGAGTTAACTAGTGATTTCCCTGTGGCTAATGCCAATATTTTTCAGTACTTATCTTGACTTATCAGCAACTATAAACACTATTAAGCATTCCTTTTTTAAAATTCACTCATCCAGCACTTATTGATCATCTAATATATGCTAGGTATGCTCAGACACTATGGTAAGTGCTGGGGCACAACTGTGACAGATAAACACAGTCTTTGACCCCAAGGAGCTTACAAAGTCCTGAGAGAGAAGGGCAAAGGAACAGACCATTACTATGATATGAGGAGAATTAAGACCTGGGGCATAAGGGAGAGATCTCTAACTAGGACCTGAAGCTTTCTGCAGCAGTGAGGGTTTCCAAAGGATGATGGACCAGATGGGTGGACTGAGCTGATTGACAGAGAGCGAACATTCCAGGTAGAGTGAGTAACATGTGCAAAGACCCAGAAATAAGAGAAGGCAAGGAGTTGGGGCACATGGGTCTAAGCCTCAGTGAGAAATCTGAGCTGCAGAGAGTCAGTCATCAGCATATAGCAAGTTCTTCATGCCAAAAGACAGGCATGAGACAGGCAACAGAAAATATGCAGTGAGAAGAGGTCCATGATGGAACTCCCAGAGTTACCAAAGGGGCAGATGAGGAGACCCCTGTGAAGGAGGGGAAAAGACCCAAAATCACGGAGAAAGAGAACTTCAGATGGAGGCAGTGTCAAGCGCTGCCAAGAAACCACCTAAGAGGAAGAATACACAATCTTCTCAGCAGATAAGCTCCCTGCCTTACTAAGGATTTCTATTTCACTGTGATGTTCTTCCAACTTCTCTGGCCACTTTGTATCGCTTTAGAACAGTGTAGACACCACTCTCCCCAGGAAGCCTTCTTTGTTTACATCTCCTATTTGCCCAGTCATTTTTTTTTTTTTTTTTTGAGTTGGAGTCTCACTCTGTTGCCCGAACTGGAGTGCAGTGGCCGCTCCCGGCCATTGCAGCCTCGACCTGCTGGGGCTCCGGCGATCCTTCCACCTCAGCCTTCCAAGTGGCTGGAATTACAGGCGTGTGCTACCACGCCTGGCTAATTTTTTGATTTATTGTAGAGATGAGGTCTCACCAGGTTGCCCAGGCGGGTCTCGAACCCACGGGCTCAGGCAATCCACTCACCTCAGCCTCCCAAGGTGCGGGATTACAGGCTGAGCCACCGAGCCCGACTATTTGCCCATTCTTAGGTCTGTCCCCTAATCAGTCTATCTCACCAGGGCAGGGGCTGCACAAGCCTTATTCAACTAGCACAGTACAGGCTCACTTGGTGACCCGAAGGATTTGCGAATACAAATTTAACTAAATAAACTTTTGTAGGGCTGGGACAGCTTCTGCTTTTTTAGCCCCAGGTCCCTATGGCGGTAGCAAACTTTCACTGACACCTCCATTCATGTTGCGTAGAATGTCCGACTCCATTCATGTTGCGTAGAATGTCCGGCCCGGGGAAGAGTTTCGTCACGTGCCTCAATGATTTCACCAATGATCTGAAACCTGACCAGGAAACCCTGGTTCTACACACCAGCCTCAACGTTCTCATTCTTAAGCCGCAGCTCCCAACATCTGCAATCCCGCTTCACTGATAAGAATATTTACTTTGTGAGACGCAGGGTAAGTCCTATCTCCTCCGGAAGCCTCTCTCTCCTTCAGTTGACCCTGATTAGGAGTGAGTGGAATTAAGTGACGATCTCCTCTCCTTAACCCGGGTGCAAAGAGAGGACAACCATGCTTGCTTTGAGTGTTGTAAGGGATGGAAGGGCACGTTGTAAATCGCTGTACACCGGCCATGTATATCTCTAGGCGGTAAGCTCCTCTGAGACAGGTCCTCAGGGAAGGCAGACCCCGCTCCACTCTCTCCCGGCTTCTCCCTCCCCGCTCCACCCCCCAGATGCGGGCCCGGCGGTTCAGCATGCATTAGGTCGGTCGTCTCCGCTTCGGCCCCGGAGGAGGGGACAGTGCCGGTGCAGACCGACTGATCGGAGGGGCCGGACCCAACGCCAGGCGTGGCGATACGCACCGCGAGCAGCTGGGCCTCCGGCCTCACGATCGAGACTTCCCTGAGAAGTGCCCGAGGCTGCTGGTACCGACCGCTGCCAGCCTCCTGTAAGCGCGGCGCGGGTCCCTCTCCCCCCCACGGGAGGCGGGGCCTGTCGGCGCTTCCGTGTGCGTCATCAGGAGGCGCCGGCCGGGGGAGCTCGCAATTGGACGGCGGGGCCCCGCGGCATGCTGGGATACCGCGGGTCGGTCTCCATAGCAACCGGCCGACAATCAAACGGGCCTTCAGTCAGCAGGGAAGGCCCGTGTGGTTTCCTGGCTTTGCGGCGGGCGCCCCTCGACTCGCGGTCCTCCTCCCGGGCCCCCCCACCCCCAGCGTGCACGAGAACCCGGGGCCCCCCAGCTCGGGAGAGTAACGGAGCCAGCTGTGGGTGTGAACACTTATTTATTTACACGTTTGTCATCGACAGGCACATACTCAGTCCAGCCTGTTCCAAGGTACAGATCTCAGGCTATCACCCCCAGACCCTGCAGACCCTTCCCTCCTCCAGAGCCCCCCGAGGGCGGAGGCGTGAGAGAACCGGGAGGTTTAGGCTTCTGCCCAAGAGCTAAGAACTAAATTCTATGACTCCATTTGATTTATTTTTAAAAAGCCCATTGCATTAAGTACTCAGACTTTTCAGCTCCAAAACATTCATACTTTTTGCTCTCCTACTACCCACCCACCCAAGATTGTTAATAACAATAATAATAACAACAATAATAATACTGTAATAATATTAATAATACTTCACATTTGTACGAAGCTTACAGAATGTTTTCACATACAGCATCTCATCTGAGCCTCCCAACAGTTCTGTGAGGTAGGCATTCTCGCCTCCCTTGTTACAGACAGGGTAACCGAGGCTCAGAGAGGTAACGGGATGTGCTCAAGGCCACACAGCTAGTTAGTGGTAAAGCTAGGACTCGATCCCAGCACCCCATATTCAAATCCAGTGTTTCAACACCACAGCTACCTCTGTAAAGCAGAGTGACATTTCTTACCCCAGTCAGGCCTGAGGGGCGGCCTGAGGAGCCAGGAGGCTGAGATTTCTCAGATTAGGGGAAGGAAGGGCTCAGCAGCGTCGGGGAGAGTTGGGGTACTTGGCCTTCAATTCCTGTTTGAACTGGCGGTAAAGGATCTTATTGTGCTGGTTTTCAACCTCTTTTTGGGGATGGAACTTCAAGGCCTCTTTGAAGCCCTTATGAACCAGGAAACCTTCGTTCAGCACCTCGAAATCAAATCCTGCCACGTGCAGCTCACAGGCCTGTAGGGGGAAAGACAGGTCAGCAAAGTTTGATGCCATTGGCAGGACTAAGACTGACTTCCCTAAAGGCACACTCCGGCTTCCTCATCCCCCCAGAGGCATCCTGGATCTTCCAACCATCCTACTCCCTCCTCAACTAGGATCTCTCCTGTTTCATGACCTCTTTCCATCCAAGGCCACTCATTATACTCCCTGACCCCACCATCCCGCCTGTACCATTTCCCCTGCCCTCTCCCTCATGGGCACC